TTTTTTTCGTACATCTTTATTTTTTTCCGCATATCTTTATTTTCTTTTCGAACATCTTCATTTTCTTTTCGCACATATTTAATTTCTTTTCGCATATCTTTATGCTCTTTTCGCATATCTTGATGTTTTTCTTTCTCTTTTCTTCATTCGTCCATGCATTTAATACTGCTTTGTTGGTAGTGCTATAATTTTAGAGATTCTAGACGAAATCCAAACAAGGTAATATCATCGGTCGAGACCTGGCATTTCGGCTTTATGTATTTAAAGTAAACGCAGTACTAGATTGGCAGCTAGGTCTCCTCATTTTATAGTTGGTATTGCTAAATGAAACCATAAATTCTATGCTACAGTTTCTTTTCTCGTACTTTTCACTTGTATAATCTTTTTCCGGTTTCTTGCTTTCTAATCAATTTTGATATTCACAAGTTTAAATGCAATGTCATCTGGAATCCTATTACTTCATTGTCCTCTCTCCATTGCCTGCATCTTAGAATATATATATATATATATATATATATATATATATATATATATATATATGTGTGTGTGTGTGTGTGTGTGTGTGTGTGTGTGTGTGTGCATATATATATATACATATATGTAAGGTATATATATATATATATATATATATATATATATTACTTTAGACGGTTTTTTTTAGTGGATACGCATATATTGAGTAGACGATCAGTTTATTTTAACCAGTGTCTTATTTCGTCTACCGAGAAATCTTATTAAAGAAAATGTGCCATCCTACTTTGCAGGAGAAAACCGTCATTTGATGAAACGTGCTTTCAGACTTCTTCGAAAGCCTATATCTGCTCAGTTTCGTATCCGATACGTAAACAAAGCAACTTCTAAAGATGTAATGGATTTTTATCCGACAAATTCGACAAATTTTTATTACTTTAAACGTTACTTTTAAAGTAATAAAAATATATTAGATTGATAAATAAAAATCCATTCTTTATATAACACACACACACACGCACACATACACACACGCGCGCACGCACACACAGATATATATATATATATGTGTGTGTGTGTAAGTTATATTTAGGAAGTATTTTAGTACGATGTTGTACATCTGAATCAAAATTGTGGGTAGACTATCCAAAATTTATGTTTTGTGCTGTTTTTCATCTTCAAAAATTTAAATGCAATGTCAGTCGTGATCATGTATCTTCTTAATTCATGTTCTTTTATTGTTGTCTCTCCTTAATGTTTTTCTTTTTTACATATTTTCTCATATTCAGCAATCTCTTACGTCTTAGCGGCTTTATTGTCTTGCTTTGGGTGAAATGATCAATGATAAAAAAGTATAGTTGTTAATTATTTTTTTGCATAAGATTTAAGATATATAATGAAAAAAATGTATTTAAAATACTTATAATAACCAGTGTAACGTCTTCGATTTGGTTTAATCAAGATTTTAAGTAGTAACTTTTCTTTGATTTTGTTTCAAGACGCTGTTGAAGTATCTATATTTAATAAATATTTCTAGAAACATTGTCGCTTGTGATATGTCTGATAAAGCATTATGTGAACACTTAATGATTTTATTAGTCTTACCATGTGACGGAATGTTATTTTCAGAATCATAATCGCTACAATCTCTCCAAGAGTACTGTGATTAGGTCTTATATTTATTATTATATTATGCTCATTGTCACGTGACCTAGATTGTTTGATACCGGATACACCGTTCCCGTCGAGGGAAATATACTCTCTCCAAGAGTACTGTGATTAGGTCTTATAGAAAATTATTCTACCATACTTTCTTATATTTATTTATTTCTTATAACAGTTGAAAGAATGAGAATCACATAATCATTTTCGATGGGAGCTCAGCAGATGAATTACTGAATAATTTGAGCTAGATGCCGTTGGGCTTTACGATCACCTTTTTTTGAATCTTGTGAACTGGCGCTACAGAATCCTGATCAAAGAACTGTAACAAATAACACAAACGACATCACTTGAGGACTTTCAACAGTAGAAACAACTAAAAGAAATAGCACATGTCACTAGAAGAGAAAATAATGACATAATCAAAATGTTGATGTTCCACACTACCTTAAACAAAAGGTTAGGAAGGAAATCGTCACAAGTATTGGAAAGTGCAATAATAATTACTAGACTATAGAAACCTATTTTCCTGAAAAAATATTTTAATAGAAAGAATTTATGAATTTCAACAGGAAGTAGAACTCGCTGCTTTGTCAATAAATGATAAATGTTTCCTTATAAAACGGCTATTATTACCACATTATTATCATTCTACGAAGCAATTCGATAAAACATTGTGATAAGATAATTCATAAGATTCACCTTCTAGTACCATCTGAAAATATATTAAATTCAGATTAATTTTTGCGCTAACCAATTAAGCTTCTTTGGTTTGACAGTGTTTTGTGTAAAAAAAATGAGAATTTCAGAAAGCTTTAGGCTATAACCAGTGCAGATTGTTCGATTTAATATGATAGAATTTTGAAGGAAGGTATATTATGTATTTTTATTATAATATATTTTATCAGAAGATGATTCAGTACCAATCGATTACATTCACTTACACGCAAATACCCTTGGGAAAGGTATGAATCCATATCCATTTCAGCTATAGGTTAAACAGTAGATTAAATCTGGCTCTCTAGCAAACCCCTCTAGAATAAGGACAACTCTGAATTCAAAATCGTAGCAATTGTACATGATCCCAGACCCACAGAAATAAGAATGGAAAAAAACTCAAATGATCCAGTTGTATGTGATTTTCAGAATATATCTTGCTAGAATCAGTGCCAAATTTGCGATTCGTTCTGATAGAACCCCGCAGGAACTATTGCTCGAAAGAAAACGAATTTCATAACTATTTTTAGTAGAAACAGTGGAGCATTTACGAATTGTTTTGATAGGATGTACGAAAGAATATGGTTTTGTTTTATGGCTAACATTGTCAGAAGTAATGTGAATTTAGCAATAAATTTCAGATGAGGTATTGTAAATTCTTCAATTTGTTTTGGTATAGCGTTCTAAGAAGGCATATTCTTATGTCTTTTTTATAGTTTCCAGATTTTTTAAAATTCTGGTATTTTTTTACAAGTCTCAAGAATTATGAATTCCAGAATTATTTTCACTGAATACAGATCATTCAGCGCATATTCTGATGTGGTCTTTTATGAAACGATCCAATTTCAATTATTTTGTTCCTTGTTTTATCTTTACAACTTTAGAATTATTTTTCACCAGAAATTATTGTGGGGTTATCAAATTTTGCCTGCTAGGGAACTTCTCTTAACGCCCGCTAGGGAACTTCTCTTAACACCTGCTAGGGAACTTCTCTTAACCCCTGCTATATAGTGTTCTATAACGCTGCAGTAGTGACAAGACGTGTCTAGTTTTCCTTCCGGGAAGACAGTATACGGTCGAACTGACTTTTTAGTCTCAAGCAAACTACGTGTCGCATCACACACACACACACACACACACACACTACTACTACTACTACTACTACTACTACTACTACTGATAATCATACAAATATTATTTTCCTCCCTTTCGTTGCAAGTGGTAGACCTCGAACGTGATTTGATCACGCAACCGTTACATTATGAAGAATTTGGGCTTTGTTCTAACATGGTATATTTACAAAAAAAAAATAGCCACATATATTTTGTCTGGAATACAGCCTAAAGACTTTTGTTATATAAGTTTTTTGAGTTTTCTCTTGTGGTTTTGTATAAAGTCCTTATCTTTTTTTTTCTTTTTTTTTTCACGCCAAATTGAAAATTTGAGATTTTAGAATTATTTTTGTTGGGCTTTTCTTATTTGCTTCTAAAAAAAAATGAGCGAACATGAAGTCTTTTGGTTCCAACGAAAGATACAAATAATTATGAATGATTTACGTTGGAATTAGTATATTAGATTTTTTTGATATACCTTTGCAAAATGAAAGTCAAACATATGGTTTTGGGTCCAATTCCTACTGATAAAATTGAAAATTCAGAATTATTATTTTTTGTAGAAACAACGCAATTCTGTACCCTTGACTGGATCCCATAATTTTAGGTTAGATTCTCATATGAATAATTTGGAATTTCAGAAGATATTCACTAATAGAATTATATAACCTTATGAAATATTCTTTATTTCCAGTTCAAGCGGATAAGTCTGATTTATTTTTTTATTTACGGGCTATTGACACTTTGCGAGTTATTTAAAGCCGAAACATCTTTCGGATTGTAAGAATATTTTTTCGAATTACCATTTGTTTTTAGAATAACAATGAATTTTCCAGATACAAGTCCTGCTATTTAATCCATAGCAGGAGAGAAGTGGAATTCATAAATTTCAAAATGGCATTTGGACGTAAGTGAATATAACGTAAAAAGGACATATTTGGTGGCTAGAACTTCATCTGAAGATTTGGATAATTTCTCAAGAAGAAGAGTTAGGCCTGAAGAGATCTTGTTTAAAATCTTCTTTTTTTTTTTTAATACAATAATGAGAAACAAAAGGAGGAAGCGGTAGAAAGCAGAATGACGTCGACTAGGTAGTGAATCTTAAACACATTGAATTGCAAAAATTTAGTTAAGCGTCCTTGCATCGTCAGCGTTTCTGTGAACGAATGTTTGTTAGAAATATCCCCTTCTTCTAAATGTGAATGATCATATCTATAACCCCCCAAAAAAAAACAAAAAACAAAAAAAAAACACTTAGTCTGAAGAAATTCTTTGGAACGATGAAAAGCGACAGTTAGGATTCTTCCATTTTGTCAAATATCATAATTATATTATTAGAAGAAAAGTGACACATACTAATGATAAATGAACCAATTGCGTCGCACAGAAGAATTAGTAATTCCAAATTATTTTCACTAGAAACTGGCCATCTTTTGCTATGATATCCGACATATCTTCGTAAAAAGTGTTAGTTGCATGTTCCAAGATTCTAGCCTAAGTCAAGACCGGAGTATTTCAAAATTTATCTCTGTAGGAGATATGTCTTGTTGTTGTTGTGCTTCTTCTTCTTCTTCTTCAAAATTCTTTTTCTTCTTCAGAATTCTTCTTCTTATTCTTCAGCATTTTCTTCTTCTTCTTCTTCTTCTTCTTCTTCTTCTTCTTCTTCAGAATTCTTCTTCAGAATTCTTCTTGTTCGGAATTCCTCTTCTTCTTCAGAATTCTTCTTCTTCTTCTCTTTTTCTTCTTCTTCATCCAAATTCTTCTACTTCTTCAGAATTCTTATTATTATTCTTTAGAATTCTTCTTCTTCTTTTTCTACTTCAGAATTCTTCTTGTTCGGAATTCTTCTTCAGAATTCGACAGAATCCTTCTTCTTCTTCTTCTTCTTCTACAGAATTCTTCACAATTCTTCTTCTTCTTCAAAATTCTTTTTCAGAATTCTATAGAATTCTTCTTCTTCTTCAGAATTTTTCTTTTTTTCTAATTTCTTCTTCATCTTCAGAATTCTTCTTCTTCTCTTTATCAGAATTTTTCTTTTTCAAAATTCTTCTTCTTCAAAATTCTTCTTCTTCAGAATTCTTCTTATTTTTATTCTTTAGAACCCTTCTTCTTCTCCTCCTTCTTCTTTTTCTTCCTCAGAATTCTTCTTGTTCAGAATTCTTTTTCAGAATTCTACAGAATTCTTTTTCTACTTTTTCAGAATTTTTCTTCTTCTTTAAAATTCTTCTTCTTCTTCTTCTTCTTCTTCTTCTTCTTCTTCTTCTTCTTCTCTTCCTTCTTCTTCTTCAGAATTCTTATTATTATTCTTTAGAATTCTTCTTCTTCTTCTTCTTCAGAATTCTTGCTAGGAATTCTTTTTCAGAATTCTACAGAATTCTTCTTCTTCAGAATTTTTCTTTTTCTTCTTCTTCTTCTTCTTCTTCTTCTTCAGAATTCTTATTATTATTCTTTAGAATTCTTCTTCTCCTCCTTCTTTTTCTTCTTCAGAATTCTTCTTGTTCGGAATTCTTCTTGTTCGGAATTCTTCTTCAGGATTCTACAGAATTCTTCTTCTTCAGAATTCTTCTTCAGAATTCTTCTTCTTCAGAATTCTTCTTCTTCAGAATTCTTCTTCAGAATTCTTCTTCAGAATTTTTCAGAATTTTTCTTCTTATTGTTCTTGTTCTTCATCTCCTTCAGAATTCTTCTTCTTCTTCTTCTTCTTCTTCTTCTTCTTCTTCTTCTTCTTCTTCAGAATTCTCATCATTATTAGGTGAACGTTATTATTTTCCTTTCATCGTAACCTTTTCTTCACAAAACTGGCATTACCGATCTTCTAATTACCGAAACTATTATGGGCGTTATCATTGCCATGTTCCCTGACATCATCTTCATCATTACTGTCAATATTATTTTTAGGTTTAATCATAGTTCATATTATAAACATTGTCCTTTTCCACAGAGTCATATTTAAGCACTACCACCACTATCACCAGCAATAATTACACCACCACCAACAACAACAACAGCAACACTTTATTATTATTATTATTATTATTATTATTATTATTATTATTATTATTATTTACTTCGATTTCTGTTGTATTCACATTTCATTTCGGGTGCCAACCATAGACCTAAGATCCGAAATGGCCTTATGACATTTTCTATTGACCATTTTTATAAAAAAATAAAGAGATAAAAGCAACCTAAGATCAAATACATTTTACATAGATAAAGTTATTCGTAGTGTGTGAGCTGTACTTGCGAGTACTATTTTTTTGTATTTCTCTAAGACATGGACTACCAGGAATCCCTTCAATAAGTCTATCGGAACCTTTTCCAATCAAGCCGAGGGCTCCAACTACAAATGGAATTATTGATGTCCTTATGTGCCACATTTTTTAGGTTTCAACTTAAGGTCTTCGTGTTTTGATAGATTTTTGAAAATCTTCAAAGATACATTACAATTTACAGGGACTGTTATGTCAATAAGAAAGCACATTCTGTTTTTGTGGCCTTTGATTACGATTAGATTTGATTATTATTATTATTATTATATTTCGATTTCTGCTATGATCAAACTAATTACCAACTCTGCGGGAAGACCTATGGTATAGCTGCATTTCATGATTTGTTTATCTAATTCCGATAACATCACTAGCGTTAAATGGACAAAGTTCTTAGTGTGTGGGCTATACTTAACAAGACAATTTTTGTATTTCGTTTAAGCTGGGATTTCCAGAGATTTTTTTCAATGTGTTGTTCTTGTTGTTGTCATTATTATTATTATTATTATTATTATTATTATTATTATTATTATTATTTATTATATTTCGATCTTGGTAGGTTCTATGGTCATAGAACCTACCAAGTTTGCGGGAAGACCTAAGTCAGGTATTGGTGTGTTGTTATGACTACATTTCATGATTTGTTTTTCTAACTTCCATAACATCACTAGCATTACATGGACAAAATTCTTCTTAGTGTGTGGGTTGTACTTATCAAGACAATTTTTTTTGTATTTCTCATAAGCTGGAATTTCCAGGGATTTACTCAGTGTGTTGTTGATTTCCTTTTTTATCATTCCAAACGCACCTACTATGACTGGTGCTATTCTTGTTTTCAATTTCCGCATTTTTATTATTATTATTTGAATGTATCATGGTACTATTGTTGTGTAGATGTGTTGAACACTAGGGAAGATACTGCTTGTCAAGTCATTAAATACCCTTAGCGAGGCCGTGCGTTTTTTATTTTTGCTGGACCCAGTATGGCAGATTTGTGTAGAGTTCGCGAAGTGTATTTTACACCAAGTCGACATTATTCTTTAAACTTCAATAGGTGGAACCAAGTGTCCCAATCACTACCGGGATTACTCTTACAATTTTCTCCGGCGTTTTCCACAAGCAAGTAATTTCAACTTTCAGGTCAGAGTAGTTGCCGATCTTTTCTATTTGCTTTGCTGTTATTTTAGAATCAGCAGGTATGACCACGTCACTTATTTGGCATTCATTTTCATTTTTGTTGAGGACGACTACATTTGATATTCGATGTTGAATATCTCAATCTGTTTGAAAGTCATAGTTCCAGACTCTCTTAGGTTTACTTTCTTCTTCCATTATTCTCAATGGTACATGGTCGTTATTATTATTATTATTGACTTACTCGAATATCTTTTCTATCCATCCTCTCGTTGATCTTGTTTTTGCTCTTAAGATTCTCATGTTTTAAAATAATTGTCGCACTTTGTCCATTTCATAATGTGTGGCGTCATTTGTTTACATTTGGATACGCATTGAGCAGATATGAATGTACGAGAGAAAATCGTGGAGAATTGTAGTTTAAAAACAGTAAAATCGACCTTGCTAATTGAAACGCTCCTTTGTGGCTCAATCGGTAAAAGCACGTCAGGCTATAAGACGGTTCCGTATAGGATACAGGTTCGATTCCTGTCGGAGGACGCATATTTCTTATAAAAATTTCTCGGACATTCAGGCGGGTAAATGTTGTTTAATACTGTTTATTATAAACAGAGCATTTACTTAAATATTTGTATCTATAAAAAGAACGTATAAACATAAAAGATGTCATAAAATAATCTTAATGCCACGGCGGTTGTAATGTTCACAAGCATCGTTATTATACAAATATTCAGTGTCCAGCACCACTGTTCTAGTCATCATTACTGGTTAGATATAAAAGGCTTTCTTTTTTTCTATGAATTATTTTTGGTTTATTCTATTGTTCTCTCCATTGTTATCGGCACACTATATATTACCACTTCTACAATGGACGAGGCTTTCTGAAGACATCCAAAGTGAAGCTGAAAAAGATCAACCAAAAGAGACGTGAAATCCCTACCCTAACCAAACATCTCCACTATTTTCTATGCCCATGAACTCAAAACCATCACCCAAAAAAATACCATCGATTCTTCTCTCTTTTCCATCTGAGCTTACATGTTCCATCCCATCTCCATTTCTTCAAATCTCTACCCGCCACCCAACAAACCAAACAACCAACAAACAAACGGAAAGAACCGACAAGTACCGGAACACCCCGAGCTTTATTCTGCAAAAACCCGCCGACCAACCGCCAGAGAATGTCGATGGCAGCTGCGGCGCCGACGGAAACGGCCGACAAAAACCGGAAACGGTCGAGCCCCCTATAATTTCCCCCGTCGGCCCCAGCTGCGGCGGCGGCGGAAACGGCCGGAAATTGCCGAAGCGGTGCAAAGCCCTTTTTGGCATGTGAAAGAAAGGAGGCGTTTTGATGTCGGTTTTAAAAGGGGCGGACATTTTTGCTGATGACACCTGGGCTGGGGTGGGTGAGAGTTGTTCTTGAAAGAGGAGGAGGTAGGTTAATGATAATGTTAATAATGATAATGTTAATAATGATGTGGATGCATAATGTCACCGACCACAGCACGTGTATGTATTTATATATGTATATATATGTATGTGTGAGTGTCTTTCGCTGAATATAAATACGAGTATATATATATATATATATATATATATATATATATATATATGCATACGTGTGTGTGTGTAAGATTAAAGGAAATTATGATAATGCCAATAAAACTCAGACGAAAAACGGTAAATCGAAGACAATAGGTAAAAAATGAAGAGAACCGAGATTAATAGAATGAGCAACTAAGAACGTGTTCATGTCAGAATCTATAAACTAGTTTACGTATTTTTATACGTAAGGTCCTGTAGCAAGTTTGCATGAAGATCTATGAAGATGAATAAATGCAAAGGCATATATATATATATATATATATATATATATATATATATATATATGTGTGTGTGTGTGTGTGTATGTATGTATGTATGCGCGTGTGTGCGGCACACAGAAAGAGAGAGAGAGAAGAGAGAGAGCCAGCCAGACAGACAGATAGAGATACAGTGATAGATGAACAAGTGCTGTAAAGTTCTTGCTCAGACCAAGAACAAATTAAAAAGTAGATTCTGACGTTTGTTCAGATTTTTAGGAAAGGAATTTCAGTGTGACCTTGTATTGTCAGATGTAACTTTATTTTAACGCAAAAATAAAAATAATATATATTGCCTTATTTTAATTTAGAAGTTTAAAAAGAAAAATACACGCATTTCAATAATTTATGAGTGATTTGACTTGAAGAGAAAATGCATTTAATTTTAATAAAATCAAAAAAAATAAAGATGGTTATGTACATAAGTAGACGTGAGGAACACATTTGCATACATACAAACAAACAATATATATATATATATATATATATATATATATGTGTGTGTGTGTGTGTGTGTGTGTGTGTGTGTGTGTGTGTGTGTGTAATTAATATATATATAAAGTTTGTCGCTTAGCTGAATGTTGTTACCTTCAAAATTGCGATTGAAGTATTTCAAAGTCGGAAGTTCCAGCAATCTCTGCGTACACTCGTCTTGAGCTTCAGCAGTTGACTGTTTATATTTTTCTGTTTTTCTATGAACTCTTCAGTGTTGCAAAGTTGATTTTTCTTTTGTAGTTTTTACGTGTTTGTATGTGTGTCTGGGGGGGGGGGGCGAGCGCGCATGCGTTCGTACCTACGTGTAGAATGTCGTAGTTATTTCTTCTTTTCATCGTATTTCTCGTTACGTGATATATATATATATAAATATATATACTGTTTATTATAAACAGAGCATTTACTTTAATATCTGTATCTATAAAAAGAATGTATAAACATAAAAATATCATAAAATAATTGTCGGACTTTGTCCATTTCATAAAGTGTGATGTCATTTGTTTACATTTGATACGTTATGAGCAGATATGAATGTACGTGAGAGATTCATAGAAGATTAAAGTTTAAATACAGTAAATTCGACCTTGCTAACCGAACGCTCATCTATGGCCAAATCGGTTAAAGGCACGTCAAGCTAAATGATGTTCCGTATAGGATACATGTTCGAATCCTGTCGGAGAACGAATATTTTCTGTGAAAATACCTCTTTTATGCAAGTTTCACTAAAGACGACTGACAAGGAACTGCTATCAAGCTTTTGATTAAATCTTTCTTGTTTTTGTATAAGTGATTTCTTTTCTGGATATAAAGTCTGTAAAAACAGTGCAAATATTTTATATATCCGAGCGATTTCATCTATTCTGTTAGCCATTATCAAAGGTGTTTTTTTTTTTAGAAACATACATACCTATACATATTGGTAAAACGATATATGAATCTATGACAAATGGAAAAATTTTTGTGTGACGCATTATGTCAATTAGGTCTTCATCGTACTAGGGTGATGTTAAGTTAATGCGATTACACAAGACCATAGAGGAGAGGGAGCATACCGTATGCGTGTGTGTTTGCGTGTGTGTTTGCGTGTGTGCTTGCGTGTGAT